ACTCTTAATGTGGAAGATGAAGACCATCCTGTACATCCTGATCTACTCAGCAGTGTCTTGCTTAGTGACCTGACTAGGCAGTAAGAAACTGGATGGGAGGATGGATAAAGTAACATTTATATTGCATTTACATGTCATCCTTTTAGACCCTTGTTTAAATAAACCAGAACAGCTTCTGACCCTGAAGTGGACAGACAGCAAATCCACTCAGTCTAATATATCGCCCCCTGTTATAGTGTGACACTGCCTGAGGGTTTGGATGTTTGCATTAGAGATGAAAACTTTACAACTCATTAGCCATCCCCACATATTCAGGTAATTTGGTAGACCTGGCAGAAAAGACAAGTTAAACATGAAAAGCTAGGATCAAGTAGATTACCTATTTGTCTATTGAAATGAGTCTGCTCTTTAAGTTTGCAATAACATATTCTGAATTTTAAAAATCTGTGCCATGCATGACAGGTATGAATTGTGTAATTGGTCTTCCAAAACAAAACCTTTAGTGCCATCTAGTGACCACAAGTGAGCATACATGATGGCCTCTTAAACAGACAACCACTGGAGGGTAGCATTTGTTTCTAATACAGCTCTACCGGCTGTTACAAGGCAGTCTTTTTCTTACAAGCTGTAATTTCTCACTGCATGTTTATGTGAGAAGAAATATGTGGAATACATGTGGAGAGCTCTCAGTTTTAGGTCAAAAATGTTACTTTAAACAGTAATTTATATCATCACAGCAGCTGCAAATGATGTGTAATGTTCTTCTGTTCATGATCATCACTCAAAACTGCTGAAGAAGTGCACTTGAGTAAGGCACCGAACACCCAACTGGTCCAGTAGAGCTCTCAGGGGTTAACAGTGGCAGACTGTGACTCATTGTCTTATGTGAAATAAATGTGAATATGTTTAATTGTCAACTTGTGTTCACAAAAACCTACATATTCATTTTAAGCTATTTCAGTAGTGCTACTCCAGCTGGCTATTCTGAGTAGCAAAAAGCTTTATTAATTTAAAATGGCTATTGTGCTGTTATGACTAAACAAAACCAAACAAAACAAAACCAAATTGGCAAACAATACAAAGACTCACTTCTTTATTACCATGAATCTAAAAATGACACATCAAACAGTATTATCAAAAAGCTTCATGAAGTTTCCAGCAATCTGATGAGGTTGGTGACATAAAGTCTTTCACAGGCACAGTGGGTTTTCACACTGTTACCATGTAAAATTTTTATTTCAAGTTCTTCTTTCCCTGAACAGTGAGGGGTCATTTTGACGATGGCCGTTCGGTTGCTTTATTTTCACCAAATGAAAACCAGCAACTGAGGCCTGGTACAGTTGTCAATCAGAAAGCTTGAGCCAGATGTGCAGTAGTGTGAATGTTTGGAAATGTGTTTTTACATCTCATAACAATAAGCATTGCACTCTTACCCATTTAGTGTTGTGTAACATATCACACATATAGCCAGTCGTTGAAAGTTGTATAAAGTGTAACACTTTTTGTGACTTCAATTCAAATGAATACAAAATCAAGAAGGTAACATCTTTTCAAGCTACAGTACATCATCTCACTCATGTATATCTACATATCTGGGTTTGTGTGTGGTACAGGACATGGATACAACTATTTACAAGTATATATCCACACTGTGGCCATACATTATAATATCAGCCATTTTAGTCTGATAAACACCAAGTTAAATGAAGATTGGTACATTAGTAAAATAAAAAATTAAAGTAATTAAAAGTATGCATGGTTAGTGTGAGTGGTCGGGTCGATTTAAGAAAGCACATAAGGCAACCACAGTATAAAGTTTTGCGATACCAGGAGCCAGTCAGAGGTTCATGTTGCTGACATTATTTAGGTGGAGATGGGTTTGCAACAAGTGACAGTACAGTGCCGCCTGATCTGTGCTATTTAAGGGTCAGACTTTATGGCATTTTGAGAAACTATTCTTTCAACCTGCAAAACAGTTTCACTGCTGATTTTGTGCCCATGTTTCTCTTGCCAGAGGTTAATTCAACCTCGCTCCAGCGCCTGAACACATTAGGACAGTATTCAGGTGAGACCAACAGGTTGTTAAAGTGCTGGTTGGTGCCCGGAGATACAGGTCAGTGGATCAGTGGAGTATTCGGTGGAGGTATCTCTCTGGATCACTCTCTCCTCCTCTCCTCAGGCCTGAGCCGGCTCTAACTGGTCTCTCAGACGTCCCTGCAGGGTTGTGGCCCTCTGTTTGTACACCTGTAGCCCCAGTATTTCTTCCTGTTGTCCCTACAGTGGGGCGTCGGCGTGGCTCTGGACTGCAGCGTGCTCCTGCCACAGAATCATTCTTCTCTCCTGCATCCTTTCCCTGGCTTCTTGGTGAGCTCTCCCCAATCCTGCACAGTAATGATGGTTTTGTTGAAATAATATAGAAACATGATGATATAATGTTGAATATTGTGAATCTGAATTAAATCTATTCAGTTTGGCAGAGTTTCTACCTGAGGTGATTGAAGGCGCGTAGCCAGTGTGATCCAAGAGCATCTCTCCCATTAGTCCGCAGCCCTCTGCGGTGACTTCGGGCCCGCAGTCCAATTAAGGCTTGAGCCAGCTCAGCTTCATCTCCATGGCCCCAAACCAGCTGGGCCCTCTGCTCCGCATCCTGGTCCCCTGCTGCCTTGAACAGTCTCTGGAGCTGCCACAGGTTCACGTCACTGAAAATGTTCCCCGAGCCAGCCTTTCTGCTCCTCCTCTCAGCCAGCCGCCACAGCGAGGAAGGTCCCGCCACCATGGAGGATGGTGGGGAGGCGGGTCCAGTATCCATCCGGAGAAACACGGGAAAGGGTGGCATACAATGGCTCGACTATGTGGAGAGGGACACAAGAGTTTCAGCTCATTATGATGTGTTCACAAAGAGAAGAAGTGAAGACTTATCATTGATATTTGACAGAAGAAAAACAAAACAACAGAACACAACCAAGTGCAGCTTGTGACACCTGTCACAGTGAAACACTGCCAGTCAGCTGCAAGTCTCCTGCTCTGATTCCTTAATCCTGCTTTAGGAAGTGAGTGTTGAGCTGTGCTTTAAAGCCCATTAAACTGCAGATGGTACCTTTATCTCTCTTTTCTCACATACGCTTTTAAGTGGGACACAAACACATAGGTATTAGCTGAGTGACCGAGGTCAGGATTACACGTGGGTGAGCCTTTCCACCGAAACTGATTATTTTACGACAAAAATAATCTTAACTCCACTTATTAGCTTTCTCCAGAGCTTTCAACAGCACGTCATCTCACAGATGAAGTTTGAGCAGATACAAACTCCATTCTCTGAAGAAGATCATTTTGTCAAACTTACTATTTCCAAGTCAAGAATGAAGTTTCATATTCTCTTTTAATTAAGCTTTATTCTGCAGGATCTCCTGCCCACAGAGTACTTACTTTGCTCATTTCACTTTAACTATTTAAAATAGGCTCCTGAATGTCTCATAACTATTTATTTATTCATTATTAATATGAAGAAAAACAACACACTTATCACAATCACCTTATGAGCAAGAATTCACACTATCAAATACATAGCTCTTAAACAGCAAGTGTTGTTTTTTTTCTCATTGGCTATGATCATTATTGGAGGCAGCTCTAAACAAACACACATCCACAGGCCTATTTATTTGCATTAGAAGTAGGTTAACATTGATTAAACGTAGCAGGCTTCTCCTGTATTCCCCTCACACCGGTGTCATGACAGTCTGCTGTTCGCTGTTTTGCACAACAAACTGCTCACTGGTGCAGAGACACCGGTTTCCTTGCAAAACTAAGAGACGGGAAGAAGCTATAAATCATCTCTGAAATATTCATTGTTTTACCATACTGGATAAAATACGATGCAATGCTTGAACAACTTATTGGTCTGTCTACTCTGTGCTGGATTTCATTACGCTGTGGGTAAAAGGCAGTAAATAGGAATCCCGTGAGAGTCATGTGAAAGCAATGAAAGAACAACTGCTTACCCGAGGATTAACTGGTGTTTCCAGCGCGCTCGGCTCCTATCGCATCGCTGCTTCTTTTCAATAAAAACAACTGCCACAAAAGCCGAAGCACAGAAAAGCGGACTGTTTACCCAGCTTCACCAGCAATGCATTTCTGTCCTTCAGCCGACTACTGATCATAAACCAAGGGTCATTAAACCACCAATGATCATGGAGCTACCCTCTGTTCCCTCCCTCATCCAAAAGAAAGAGCCTTATTTCGACCAATCACGGGTGTGGGGAGGTGGGAGGTGGGGTGGGGGGGGAGGTCGGCACCGCCTCCTGGCCACGTAGGGCGTGTGCGCTGAAATCCATTGACGTCAATGAGCATGGCACGAGCAGCATCTGTCAGTGATCTGAGAGGGAAGTAACATGTGAGCATCCTGCNGGGGGGGGGGAGGTCGGCACCGCCTCCTGGCCACGTAGGGCGTGTGCGCTGAAATCCATTGACGTCAATGAGCATGGCACGAGCAGCATCTGTCAGTGATCTGAGAGGGAAGTAACATGTGAGCATCCTGCGCTGAAACACGTAAACAGGATGACGCATGGGCCCCCAAACACCATGGCAAGGCTATATGAACAGACCTTACATTATTATGTACTACACAGACTCACAGTGTGTCTTTGTTGTGTTTAGTTTCCAGTGGAATGGTGGGGAAAATATTATGAACATGGCTTAAATTAAAGAAGTTTAAGAAGAATGCTGCCCTTCATTTGGCAGAAAGAAGTATGAAAATCATTATTATTTTTGCCCAAATCTTTGTTTTGCTGTCTCTACACACTTTTATTTTTTGCTTTTCTTTCTTTTCTTTTTCTTTTTTTTTTCTTAATTTACTTCCGCTTTATAAATCCTTCTAAAGCCACTTCCTTCACAAAAGACAGAAGGAAGAAGGTCACACACCCAAGGGGAAACTAAACCATTGGGAAATAAAGCAGAGTGTACATGGATGAATCCAGCAGCCCAGCAGAGGAGGAGCAGGCTTTGAATTACAGGCCGCCCCCTCTCTATCACCCTGCCCCCCAGCACAGATTCAACAGAGGAAACGGAAAAGACGAAACATTCAAGAAGGTTTTTCATTTCAAAACCCCGGGGCTGTGGAAAGAACAGAGAGTTCATTTTTTTCAAATGCCTGAATTTGTCCACTTTTGGCTACATTGTTAGACCGCAAACCCGCCCTTCCGGCCCGTTATTTCCTTTTTGCCCATCTTTTCCCCAGCTGTTTGCAGCTGGCAGAAAGCACCCGCCCTGTTCGGGGGAAAAAAGGAACCGAGAGAGACCGGAGGAGGAGAGAGATGCCACCCCAACCTCCCGAGTCGCAGGTGAGGAAGAATATCCTGAAGTTCCTCAAGAGTTGTTTGGGAATCATCCGGATCCTGCAGATTGTGTTCGGAGCTGGGCTGTGGGTCACCATCGCCGCCAACAAATATGAGGGGCCCATCCACTTCGTCCTTTTCGTCGCTGTCCTCTTCTGGCTCCTCACCCTCGCCCTTTTCTTCCTCACCCTTCTGGACAAGCAGGACCTCGTCCCGCTGCTGGGAGGGGAGCGCTGGTTGTGCACCAACCTGGCGCACGACGTGGCCGCCACCCTGCTCTACCTGCCGGCCATAGGTGTCATGATCTACAAGACGGACCGCAACTCGTACTGCAACCTGGAGCAGTACAAGCACTTCTGTCTGTACAAGGTCTACCTAACGGCCGCCGTGTTCGCCTGCCTGTGCTGCCTATCTTACCTCCTGTCGGTTATTTATGGGGCGAGCAGGAGGTGTCGGGGCGAGCAAACGGTCATCTGATGAGACTGAAGGGGAGGGGGTGATGTCAACAAGGAGGAGGGGGGGGGGGGGGGGGGGGGTCCACAGCAAGATGAGGAATAGTTAACTTCACTGTAATTTAACTCAACAGCTACTCTAATCACAGGTTCGCTTTTGTCTCCCCACACCAAACTTTCTGCCTTGGTGGTGAAGCACAATCATCAAAATCACTCTGTGGCCTTATAGTCAGTGTATTTAAGGGTTGCTGACATGAAAACATCCCAGAGGCCTGTAGCTACCCAGGATTGGAAATGTGTTAGGAGGGCAAAATGGTTAAGGCCATGCTTCCAGCTATTAAGTTGATTATTATTTTTGTCCAGTAATTTAATGTCATTTTCCCCCATAAACAATTATAGTGGGTATGCAGTAAGTTTACAGTACAATGCCTTAACATATGTTTTGTAGATTTGTGTAAGTACTTGCTAACTATCCATCTAAAACCTCTCATAGGATTAGTACAGTTGTTTTCACAAGGGATCATTTTCATTATCTTTTCAAAGTATATATTTTTATGTGTTTACATGTTTTTGTATGACAGCAAACGTTACGTGACGGACTAAAACACTTGCGGATATCCTTTTGACCAGCTCTGTTTTTGTTTTGTCTGACCCAAACATTGCATACAGTTTTGTCGGTGGCTTCTGTCAGAATGCTGTATACTCAACAAGGTTGTGACAACAACAACCCAACAATATGGATGTTATTGGTGCTAAAATGTGTATGCTGAACAAAGAAAATACCCCCTAAGTGTTCATTATGTAAAGCCAAAGAGCAAAAAGAGCAAGAATAAAGATCAGTAAGTGAGAGCCAGTGAGGTGTTTCTTTGGTTATAATCACTTTTGTTCATGAAAGCGTTTAGACAAATTGCTTGAGGAAAATGTTCATAAAATGCCTTTGTTAATTTTGTTTTAGTACTGTGAGGGAAATTTAGAGAAAGCGCTGGTCCGTGTGCACAAATTGGTGGCTTTTTCCAAATGAAACACAGATTTAGAGAGGCTAACGACGGAAGCCCTCAGGAACTTCCTGTTGGGAGATAAAAGCCTGGGCCAATCAGCAGAGATCATTTATATGCTATGCCACTTAACCACATGAAAGACACAGATCCTTTAAACTATCTGTGTCCCTAACAAACAATGAGAGAGTGTGTATACTTGTGCTGCATGATAGAAAATGTGTGTTGCATGAGAGTTATCCTACTTATGGAAACATAACGTGTGTGTGTGTGTGTTTGATGTGCGTGTAATAATCTGGGAAGAGGCTTGTTCTTACCAGAACAGTCTGTTGGGGTTCTGGAGGTGGGCTAACGTTCAGCCAATGAAAACAAAGCCAAGCAGTGGAGGATGATTCAATGTCTCATCTATTCCAGTCGACATGCAAGGCTTAAGAACATACTGCAGACAAGTTGCTTTACCAGCACCCAAAGCTGCACTGTGAAAACTCTGTTTGGTTGCCTTAATACAGTCAGCAAGTACCATTACTATGTGTGACTGGCTGTGCAATTCACTGACAAATTAGGATTTATGTTTTGGACACTTGTTGCTGGCATGGGACAGGAATGTGGTGGGAAAGGCTGCAGATTACAGTACTCACACATGAAAACACACTTTTCCTTTTTCGGTCATTGCTTGCTTCTTGTACACTTCCAATTGAATGTGATGAGTTTTTCTTGGACAGGAATGTTGGGGATAAAATGTTGCATTATCATAGGTCCAGATTCACATTCAAGAATCAAAATCCAGGCATCAAAAATGCAGAGAATTAGAGTTTAAGAGTAGTAGTAATACAATAAATCCAAGTTATATAAGTGGGAGGTGACAGGTGTAGAAAGAGTCAGAAAAAAGTTTTTGGTTGCTTTCATGAATATATGCTGTTACCTGACTCATATGGGTATCCTTGACTGGTTTAGTGCTTTCAGAGGTAGAGTAACCCTAAAATGGGACCATATAAGGAAAGACACAGATCAGCCTGCAAGCAGGGAAACTATAAAACTGATGCCTAATTTTTATTTAAGTATTTTGTTCGGTTTGTACTTCCATGTTAAATTATGCTGAAAGAACAGCTGTACAATATGTCATCCTCTGGACAAGAGGCCTTTCTATGCAATGACGACAGGAGGGATACAGTGTGTATATGTGTGTTGAGCGCAAGGTGACATCTGTGCTCAGAGTTACAGGAGTGGAAGGGTTAATGTTAACCAGCTGCAGCCCCATGATATAAATCTAGCACTTCTAAAGGAGGAGAGGACCCACCACCCCCCAACCACGCACACACACACACACACATAAACACACACTCCTATCCACCCTCTCCCCGTCTGAGATTTTTGAAGTGTTGTCCTGTCCACGTGTCGGTGTCTGCGGAAACACACAGCTGTATACAGCCAAACGGAGACAGTACACAACAGCCCTGCGTGCTGCATAAACAAAACACTGAATCCTCGGCTCAATTTGATATTGCAAGTAACCATGGTGAATCATTTAAGTTTGGAAGACTCACAACTATAGCATGTGTTGACAATTATGACCAGAAAAGGATTCACCACATTTAACCTGCAAGTCTTTTTGAGCTGCCCACATTAACAGGCTCCTTATTATTATATTGACCACAGTTTATGGATGTTATGTCTGTTCAGATTGGCTTGTTTTATGTACGAGCCCATTTCAAATTTAATCCTAAACTATCCATATCCAAATAAGAAACCCTTGCAATCACAGGTCTTAAAATGAGTCTAGAATCTTATGTTGCCTCCTAACACCATTAGAAGGGTGTGGGCACCACTAAAGTGAAGTTGCTGCATTTTTTCCCAGCTACACAGACAGTAAAGAAAACTCAGACAACTTGCTATAAAGAGGTATAGAGCCAGGTGGTTCTCTGGAGTGCCAACTGTGTTATATTTACTTTGGCTACTCAACCAAAGAGACATTTCCTGTATGTGCTCTCCCACCCATTTGCAAGAGACCAACCGTCCAATAGTCGCCATAACCCCTTGAAATGGTTTCTCTGGCCCTTCCCTGAAAGCACATCATGCGTAATGTTGCCATGGACTGATGTCAATTATCCAAAAAAACTGACACAAAGTTCCCTGCCAAAAAATCTAAAAATGAGTTTTGAATTCTAAAAGGAAAACAATGACATGACTGTGAGTCATAGAAATATGGCAAGAATGGCTTTTGTCCTTCTCAGTAAAAATTCAGACAATTTAGTGAAATTTTTTTTTTTTTCCTTTATGCCTCTGTGTCCTTACACAGTGGCATGGAGAACAGTGTAGGCTGCAGGACATCACCAATGGAGCTGGTCGGGAAAACATATTTTGCTCAGATCTATTTTACAAGGCCAGATGGTTGTCATCAAAGGAAATCAGTTTAGGTCTTCTTGCTAAAATAAACTGCGCAAATCTTCTATTATACTCCACTTTGTTTATTCAAGGTTTATCTTTATTTAAAATTGTATTATTATAAGAATTGATTTGTTTCCGTCATAGACAACATACATGACACACTTGTCGAAATGTTCTCAAAAAACAAAACAAACAAAAGACGACACATACTCACTACTTAAAAGACAAGTTCACCTTTTCTCAAGTCTGTCTTAAAATAATACTGACATAAGGATATGCACAAGAAATCTGTTCCTAATGTGCTTCCAATGTAAGTGATGGGAAACAAAATCTTCAGTCCTTATGTGCAACAATACTCTCTGAAGTTCCAGTAGAAGCTAATATGAGCAGCCCAACTCAAGCAGTTTGAGCTGGTCAGATCAGATGAGTAATTTTGAAAGTTACAGGATTGTTTTTTTGTACATGAGTTCCTCTTTGTGTTACTATCCCTCCACCGAAGCACAGCAAGGAAACACGGTCTGGAGAAACACAAGGGAATGTTGCTCTAAAAAGACTGACTTTGGAGGAAACCCTCTGGGTCTGAATTTCTGCTTTAACCTTATAAGAGCTTTAGCTGAACTTTGGAATACTTTTTTTCAACAGAACAAGGATTGTCTCCGATCTCTTACATTGTGTCAATGACACTATTATTTTAAGTCAGACTTGAAGTTGCTATCCTTTATATTTGTGGGTATTTTTTCACATGCTCAGCATTATTCAACAGGAAATTTTAATGTTTAAAAAAATACCCACACTTTTTCACTGAACCAGGTGTGTATACTTGGTTGGTTGGAGCCCACTCAGCCATAGTCCCGGACTGGAAGAGCCCAGTCTTTCTTAGGACAGAGCACTTCCACTGGAAATTATCCACCTGGAATTCGTGTGGGTGATTCCCAGAGGAAGTACCCTATCCTTCCCAAGAGCGTCTGACTCTTTTCCTGCCGACAGTTCTTGTCTCCCATCTCATTTGGGAGGCTACATGTGCGCACATGAAACATGAAAACACAGACAAACGCACACAGCAGCGCTCCGTTAACCACACTTTCATCAGATACTGCTGAGATGCACATTCCACTGTAGAGGAGAGGGAAAGAGGGGCAGGGAAAACAGATGGAGACTGACAGAACAAGTGAATGTGCAGGGGGAAAAAAGAAAGAAGTGAGAGGGGAAGATGTGCAAAAATGCTTTACATAAAGAGGAATTTGATATTGAAATTTCCTGTTTGCGTAAAGGCATAGATCGGTAGTGTTCGAGGCGTGAAGGCCCTGTAGTTTGCCTCTGACATTTGCCAGTTTATAGTTTCCTAACATGGTGACTGGGATTACTGATTCCACATCTGCTACAGCCGCTTTCACCCAGACGATACTTCTGAATGGGCACAGTGTTCATGTGTTGTGTGAAGGCAATGGCAGCCAGTGGTGAGAAATGATGATAGCTATTTATAGAGCCTTGAAAATACCACAGCTTCCTTCATTCTGCCAATCCTTAGCCAAGATGTTGAGAGTGTGTTACAGAGTGAATGAGTCTGAGAAAGCTAGACGGAAACAGAGGGGGAATAGTTTTTGGTCACTGGGTGGATGAATTCACTCATTTCCTGTCTGACATTTTATGATTCTTGAC